TGGGTCTGGGGCCCCAAACTGGGTTACAAACTAAACAAACATGCTAAGGATTCTAAATGTATAACTTATGCATTTATTCGCGGTAATTTTGAGTATTTGCTTTACTTGATTATATCTAATTTTATTTGTAAAAAGGGTAAAAGAGATGCGTATAATTGAGGATTCTTTGTCAAGCAAGCTAATGGTATTCAAATAAATCATCTTCCCTGCTTTTACGTTTTCTCCCTGATGCTCGTGTCTGTGTACAGGTTGGTGGTAATGATGGCGAGCAAGGACGACCATATTCACTTGTAGGTAAGGGCCTCTCCTCCGGTATATCCTCTGGTCTATCCTCAATTACAACCTCAATTGCATCCCCTGGTTTATCTTCCAGTTCATCCTCCTGCTCCTCTGTATCACTAATTGGATCAACCTCAATCTCACTGAGCTTCTCTTCCCTCTCCTCTTTTGCCGCCTCAAGCTCATCCTGGGAGAAAAATTTCTCAAGAAGTGTTGCTTCCTGCTCCTCCATATCAAATTTCGTTGTACAAAGAAACATCATTAATGCCTCGACAGTCTCACTCTTCATTCTACCACGACGATAGTGACAAATATCTCGAGCGGTATTAAAGAGGCGTTCAACTCCTGCGCCAGTTGCTGGAAATGAGAGTGTATCTCGCGCAAGGGCAGCAATGGCCGGAAAGCGAGCCTGGTGCTCTTTCCAGAAAGTAAGCGGCCTAACAGAAACAGTATCTATATATATATTAGTATTATTATCACACATACTCTTTGTATTTACTTACCGCTGTCAAGATATTGACTGATTTCATCAGTAATGGCTCGTGGTTGTATATCCCTTCCATCAAGCATCTCCTCTAGCCTTGAGCTTGGATGGGCTATCGTTAGAGAGCTTTGTAGATCACGACTGCTTATTCTAACTTGTGCTTGATATGGAACAAGGGCTTGTTCAAAAGCAAGTCGATAGGTATCTCGCCATTTCTGATCCCAATCACTGGAGAGGAAGAATTTGAATTTGTTCACCGGTGCAAGCATTGTACTGATTGCATAGATATTCCCTCGAAGATCATCAGCTTGGGAGTAATACTCATCAAGCTTAGACCGACCAGCTTCAAGGGCCTCTAGCATCTGTTTTTTCCATGGGACACGCTTTCGGCGTAGCTGTGCCTGTGATCGCTCAAGATGATCAAACAGTTTGTTGTAGATCTTAAACACATAGTGGGCAGTGACATCTCGAGTCTTTGATAGCTGTGTTGTATAATCAAAGAAGGGCTCGGTGATACAAAGAAGATAGTCGATCTGACGCCACTCTTGCTCGCTGAGTAGCATCTCCTCACAATCATACTCTGTACAGAATAAAGAGAAGATAGCACGTAGCCTCTTTGCCCGGCGAAGCATGAGGAACGTAGAATTCCATCGTGTCTTTACATCTTGGATTGGAACGATCTTGATATTAGTTGTCTGAAGATTGTAAAAGGTCTCTCTGCGCTGGGGACTTGCATTGACGTAAATCGCAAGATAACGGACTTTGTTCAGTGTGGAGGAGATCTGACTTTGCTTCGCATTTTCTTGGGCTAGCCTTGACTGCTTCTCTGTCCACCTTGTCTCGGCTGATTCATTTAATGGAACTGCCTTGATCCGAGCAAGAAGCTGATTGAGGCTGAGCTGGATAACGTGGGCAAGACATGGTATTCGGGTGATAATAGTATCATCTGACAAAGCCTGTTGGAGAGCAGTAGCTAATGTCTTGTTGTTTGATGCATTATCTGTTGTCAACCCGAATACTTTATCTTCAATGTTGTGCTCCACTAGGGTTTCTATAAGAACACTACTCAGGTAAGAGCCGGTATGTGTACCATGAAGCGGCTTAAACCCAAGTAGTACCTCACGATATACCCAATCACTGTCAATGAAATAGCCAGTAATAGCCATAAATGCCTGCGAGAATGGAGATGTCCAGCAGTCAAGCGCAATGGATATCTTTGAGCCAGAAGGCAGCGTACGAAGGATACGCTGCTGCCGGTCTTTGACTAGACTGCCCAATCGGCGACGGATGGTATCGGCAGATGGGATCACTGGAGGGGATGGGGCGGAACGAGCTTTATTGATGATGCGTTTGAATGATGGATGCTCGATCAGATGGAATGGGAGCCGGTTGAGAGTAAGAAATTGGAGGAGATCCTCCTCCCAATCTTCTTGTAAGAAGGGTATGCTTGCTGAAACTTCTCCCTAGAATAATAATAAATTAGTATAGTTACTTGATTTTATGATAGAAAATATACCTCTCGTTGTAGGAAGTTTGTAATCTCCGCTTTCTTCCCCTTTTCCGACCGTAAACAACCAGCCGTTTTCCGATGTTTCTGGATGGTTGATGTGCCATGATACTGCGCTTTGCCTGTGCTGTTCGGGCTTAGTGTATAAGGATGCTCTAGGATCTTCCCACAGCGCTTGCACATAACCTTTGGTGCGCCATCAATACCCTGAGCTACCTGATGGTAGCTATTCCAGATCTCTGTATGGCGGTTCGAATCCCATTTAAGCTTGCTTTTCCTCCCGTAGTCAGTCTCTAACCACCAGTCCACAAAATCGTTATGTGACATTGTATCGTATAGAATAAACCCTTTCCTACGGTCGGGTCCAACGCGTTTCAATAAAGGGGGGATTGGGAGGGGATCATCTGGTCTTCGGAAGTTTGAGTCGATTGTGTGTTGACTTGCGGATGGTGTGACTTGTCCAGTTGAAATATATGAGAGATCGTCAAGATCACCACCATAGAGCGACGATGC